AGGCGCTGCAGCTCAGCCCGGGCGTCCTGCAGCGCACTGACCTCCCGCTCCAGTGCCGCGCGCAGCCGTGCGTTCTCCTTGGCCAGGCCCTGCTGCTGCGCCCCCGCTGCAGCTGCCTGGCCCTCGCTCCTCTGCAGCAGCGCCCGCAGCTCATCCTTGTGCATCTGGGGCAGAGGGAGGGGACTGTGAGAGAGGTGGGAGCAGCAGAGCACCACCGGAACACAACACCAGGACGCCAGGCACCCACCTGCAGCTCCGCCTGCATGAGCCGGATCTCCTGGTTTTCCTTGGCCAGCTTGTCCAGGAGTTGGCTCATGGACTGCATGCTTTGGGGGTCCCCAGCATCTGGCAGAGGCGGCTTCTGCTGTGAGTCCTGGGGGACAGGAAGTTTGGGAGGCCTGGGGGCGCTTAGGACGTCCCCTGCCCTGACTCAGTCCTGCTCAGGACCCCTCCTTACATTGCTGTCAGTGGACAGCAGCGACTCCTGCTCTCCAGCAGCCAAGTCCCAGCTCCCCACGCTTTCCACAGGGCCTGTGGAGGAGGATGTGGGTCCGAGTGTCCAGGCTGCTGTGGGATGTCCCCCTGCCCAGGTGGGACAGTCCCACATACTCACCATCCACTGGGTCGTAGATCCCACCTGGGGAGAGAAGGGGACAACGAGGGGGATGTCTGGACCCCACACTGTCCCTGGGGCCTCAGCCACCAGGATCCCCACTCACCAATGATGATCAGCACCCCCACAGCCACCAGTGCCAAGATGCCCAGCAGGTACTTGCTCATGCTGAGCCCATCCTCGTCACCAGTGTCTGGTGTCCTCTGGTGCAGGGCGTGCGTGGCAGTAGGGGGTCCAGGACGGGGCTTGTGGCCCTGCCGCCGCCGCAGCCCCTCTGTGTCATTGTCACTGCTGGTGCAGCTCCCGTCCTCTGTCTGTGGCCCTGATGGGGGACGGGGAGACCTCCAGGGAGGGTCTGCCTCTGAGCACTGCCCTGCGAGGTCCTGACCCGCTCTAGGGATGCCAGGGCAGGACTGTGGCTCAGCCTCAGCATCAGGCTCCTCCTGCTCATCACCCTCAGTCACACTGGGCTCTGTGGAGCCATCTGGGGCAGGCACTGCCCTTGCCCCAGGCTCCGTGCACTCCTCTGGGTCCTGCAGGCACAGGTGCTGGTGTGTGGGGTGTCCCCGTGGGGGGAGCAGCCCCCCAGGCCTTCTGTCCTGGCTCACACTCTGCCCGCTGACCTCGGGGGGCAGGGTCTGGCCAGGGAAGGTGGTGGCACCATTGGTGGTCATGGCTGGGGAGAGATAGAGCATGGGGGTGAGACGGTGGCACAGAGGGTGACACCAGGCCTGCCCCATCCCCATGGTGTCTGCCTGCCTGTGGCTGTGTCCTGGGTGCCTTCATCCTCCTCCTCCTCCTGCAGTTCCTCATCCTCAGTCCTGTGGGAATCCTGCTCTGGACCCACTGTGTCGATGGGCAGACTCTGGGGAAACGGGGGAGACGCAGGGTGACACCTTCAGCCACAACTTCTGTGTGCCCCACTCTGCCCACAGCCCTGGGCAGAGTGGGGCTCCAAGAAGTGGGGTGCTGTCCCAGGGGATCCCAAGCATCCGGGGCTGCCCTGGGGTATCCAGCCCCGAGGGTCTGCCCCGGGATTCCCAGCCCTAGGGCGCTGCCCCAGGCGGCCCCAGGCATGGGGCTGCCAGGGACGTTGCCCTGGAGACCCCTAGCAGCGGGGTCGGCCCTGGGAGTCCCCAGCCCTCACCTCGCTGCCCGCCAGCACCCAGCTGCTCTCTGAGTCTCGGGAGTCCGATTTCTCCGCCATGAGGACAGCCCGGAGCCACCTGCAAGGACACGGATGGACAGCGGGACGTGACCCGGCTGCTCTCAGTACCCCCGGGATGTGACCGGGAGAGCCGCGGTCCTGGTGCAAGCTAGTCCCCCAAGCGATGCCTGTGGCCGGTGATCCTCCGGAGCTTTCAGGGAGCCATCCCGGAGCACGGGCCCCGCCGCGCCACCCCCCGACCCCAGCGGCCGCCGCGGGGTATTTTTAGTCGGTGACGCCGCCCGGCAGGTGCACGGGGGACGCGGGGCCCGGCGTGGGGACATGGGGGACGCGGGGCCCGGCGTGGGGACACGGGGAAACGCGGGCCCGGCGTGGGGACACCGGGGTCCCGCTCGAGATCCCACCACCCCAAAGCAAAGCAGCGGCACCGGGAGGAGGATCTCGAGCAGCCCCCGCCCTTCCCCGTCCGCCTCAGCCTCTCGGAACCCAGAAGCGGCCCGGGGGTGGGGGTGACGGCGCTGCCAGTGACATCCCCCCTCCGCTTCGCCCCACGCGGCCCCGGCCGGGCCGGTCCTGCCCGCGCCCCCCGGCCCCGATACCTGCGCCCGCCGCGTCCCGCCGGGAACTTTCCCCGGGGCCGCCACCGCCCCCGGGAACGGGGCGCACACGTGACGGGAGCGGCCAATGGAGCACGCGGGGGGCGGGACGGGCGCGCGGCCCCGCCGGGACCGGGCAATATCCCCACCGCCCCCCCTCGGACAGACACCGACCCCCCCTGAACCCCGACGGTACCGGACAGACACAGACACCCCTGAACACCCCCAGTACCAGACAGACACCGACCCCCCTAAACCCCCCCGGTACCGGAAGGACACCGACCCCCTCCCCCGGACACTCCCCTCGGACAGACAGCGACACGCGCGTTTCACAGTTTTATAGCGACGGTACAAAAGTTTCCATTTAACGATTGGCTATAGCGGAGAGAACCTGGGGGGGGGCGGGGGGAGAGGGCGAGCGGATACCAGGATCACTGGGGGTGGGCAAGGGAGCAGGAAGCACCGGGACTACCCCGTGAATCCACACGGGGCACCGGGACTGCAGCACATCCGCGGGAGGAGCCCCTTATGAGGGCACTGACCGAACTGGGCAGTGCTGAGGCGCACTGGGAAGCCTCAGCCCTCCCAGGGCCGGTGCACCAGGGCCAGAGCCCTCCCCACACCAAAGGGCTGGCAATGGCACAGCCAGATCCATCCTGGGTCCCCTGGGCACTCTCCTCTGGTGGCTCCCAGTGGCTGGTAGTGCCCGGGGGAGCAGCCACAGCTGGCAGGGGGAGGGGGTAACAGCTACAAAAAACGGGGGTTTGGTCCTAAGTTGGCGTGAGGAGCTGTACACAGCGTCAGGAGGGCAGCTCAGCCGTCGTTGGCGGCCACCAGCTGTCCCATGCCCTCCCGGATGTAGACAGACTGGATCTCCTTGGTCTTGAGGCAGAAGTCGCAGGCCCAGACGGCCGAAGCCTCGGTGGTGAGCAGCCCGTAGGCGTTCTCTGTCATGCCCGTGCACTCTCGGTGGAACCACTTCTGGCAGGAGGCCTCGCACAGGATGGCGTCCTGGTCATCGTTGACCTCATTGCGGCAGGCCCCGCATGGGTACACAAGCCCTGGGGGTGGCTGGTGGCTGGAGGTGGCTCCAGGGGCCTTCCCGGGGGGCGGCAGCGGGAGGCTGTTGGTGTCGGGGGTGCTGGTGCCACGGGTGGCACTGCCGGGGGCAAAGCCGGGCTGTGCCCCGTTGACGGCGGCGGGAGAGCCCGAGTGCTGCTCCGGGGCGAAGGTGCTGGGCGGGGGATTCTTGCCGCCTCCCTCCTCGCCGCCTGCGGGGAAGGTGGGGTCGGCCCCGGGGAAGGGGCTGGCGGTGGGTGGCAGGGGAGGCATGTTCTGCCCGGGGCGCTGCAGGGGCGACTGTCCAAAGAGGTTGCCGGGCTGGCTGAAGCGCTGAGCCACTGCCGGGCCCCCTCCCGGGGGGTTAAGGGCCGGCCCGGGGCCCATGTCCCCCCCACCCCGCGGGGGCTGCCCCATGGTGGGGGAGATCATGGGCCCGAAGCCTGCGACGGGGCCCTGCATGAGCTGCCCCATGGGAGGGCTGAAGTTCTGTCCGAGGGGTTGGCTGAAGGGCTGCCCGGCGAAGCCTAGGCCCCCGCCCTGCACGTAGTTGGGGTTCTGGGGGGCCATGCTGAAGGCCGGGCCCATCTGCCCGGGGGCGAAGGGCGGGGGCTGCCTCCGCAAGGGTTGCGGTCCCCCGCCGTAGCCGGGGGGCACCTGCGGCGACATTCCCCCGCCCTGCACGCGGAACCCGCCGAACGGGACGGGGCTGCCCAGGAACGGGGCGGGCGCCGCCCCCACCTTGGGGGCTCCGAAGTCATCCTCGAAGGGGTTGGAGGCCACCAGGTGGTCCACCATGGGGGTGGGCGGCGGTGCGAACTCCGAGAGGTGCGAGTAGGCGGGGCCCTGCGGGGAGAAGGCGGCGGTCAGGGTTTTGCTGGGGAGTCCTCCCCGGGACCCCCGGGCCCGGCCCTTACCTGCGTGTTGGACTTGCGGCGCTTCTTCTCGGGGCTCTTCATCTGCAGCCCTGCGGGGATAAGCGGGGCCGCGTCAGCGGCGGCTGGGGGGGGCCCCCCTTCCACCCACCCCGGCCCCGGCACTCACCTGCCTTCCCCTGCTTGCGGCCGGGCCCACCGGCGGCGGCGCTGCTGCCCGCGGGGTGCGGGGGCCCTGGCGGGGGCGGCGGGGCCGGGACGGCTCCCTCCAACTTCTCTGCGTGCGGGGCCGCCATGGCCCCTCAGGGCGCGCGCGCCGCCGCCGCCATGGCCCCGCCGGAACCGGAACCGGGCCCGTGACCGGGGCCCGCGCGGGACCAATCGCGGCCCTCGGGGGGCGGGGCAGAGCGAGCGGGACCAATCACCGTTCGCGGAGGGCGGGGCCGAAAGCGCGGAGCTAATCACAGGGCGCGCAATATGCGTCAATCAACCGCGTACCCCGCCCCTCCCCCACATCCCCGCTCGGACCAAACCAAGTGAAGCGCGAAGGGGGAGGGGAGGGAAACACACGGTCCGAACCATTTACAAGGGCCGGAGGGGGAGGAAAAGGCGAAAGGCCCCTCCGTAGAGTCCGTGGGGGACCCCCCGCCCACGGTGATCCCCTCCCCCAGCTCACACCAGCCAGGGCCTAGAGAAATACCAACTTTAATATACAACCACCAGTTCCTTTGGTATAGTGGGGCCAGGGGGCCCCGGACTGCGAGGAGGGCAAGGCCGTGCTTTGGCTTGGAGGGGAGTTAGGCTGTGCATGCAGGGGGGTCCTCCCGCCACCCCTCTGAGGCTGCCAGAGCCGCCCGTGCAGGGAGGGGATGTCGTGGCACAAGTCCTGGAGCATGAGCACGGCACGGAGAGGGGATGGGTGCGGGGGGGAGTGGGGGGGGGACTCTGTCCCCAGCCCCTGCCCTTGCATAAGTGTGTGGGACCTGCGGGGTCAAGGCACAGAGTTAACACGTAAAGTGATCCGGTACAGTCGCTGTGGGGCCAGCTGGGCCTCGTGCTTGGGGGAGTCGAGCCCCCCACGGGCCCCCTTCCTTGGCCCAGGGGCCAGAGACAAGGCCAGGCTGCCTCCAGCTCAGGGGGGCTCAGACCTGCCAGACCCAAGCCCGTGCTGGAGAGCACCAGAGTGGCCATGGCACAGCAGCAGGGCTGGGTTTTGGTGGGAGCTGAGCTGCTGTGCAAAGGGGCTGTGGAGGGGCAGGGGCTGTGCAATAGCAGCCCCCATCCCACAGGCGCTCACAGCCTGAGCCCCCCATGGCCACCAGTCTCACGGGGTGAAGGGAGACAGGCCCTGTCCTCAGCCAAGTCCATGCTCAGTCCCGGGCAGAGCACCCAGCAGAGTCTGAGGGCTCCCTGGGGCAGGGAACAGGGCCAGAGGGCTGTGCACTGGGGGGGCTGCGCACGGGGCCCACCGGGCGCTCACAGTCTCCTCTCCACTGGCTGCTGCAGGCACATCTCACTGCCAGCTGAGATGATGGGCAGGTGATTGTCCATGTGGTAGCTGATGAGGTGGCTGACGCTCTCGAAGCGATGGTCCTTTGTCCGCACCTGGGGCACCAGGAAAGGGGTTCTCAGGAGGCTGGTGGAGCCCACGGCGGGGCTAAAGCCACCGCCCTCCATGGCACGGGCTGGGCACAGACTGCATCTCACCCCCACGCTCCACCAGGCCCTCTCCATCCCCCAAGCCAGCTGAGAATTGTCCCCTGATGAGTTGTGCAGAACTCCAATGCCCTGGTGTCTCTTTTAATGCCCCCCAGCTGTCCCGAGCTCCATCCCGGGCCCCAACATGCACTCACCACTCCCTCAGGATCGACAAGCAGCAGATGCTTGGGCTGCCCACCCTGCAGGCCAGTCAACACGTACTGGCCCGGGGTGGTGGTGCTCTCCCGCACCAGGAAGTCTCCGTTCACCTTCAGCAGCTTCTCGGCCTCTTTGCGGTTCATCTTCCCGTGGTACCAGGGCTCTCTTCTCAGCTGCTCCTCCATGGAGGCCACCACCTGGGCAGGGGGCAGCCCCATGGGCACGGACTGGGGTACACGCAGGGCATCTTCAAAGGGCTCTGAAGGGACAGAGGAGCAGGGGGACCATGACCAAGCCCACAGCCACCCACCCCTGCCCTGGCCACAGCTGTCATCCCACTCACTCATGTCGAAGAGGTCCCTCTGTGTGCTGCCATTGGCTGTGGTTGTGGTGCCCGTGGCTGGGGCCTGGCGTGTCTTGTCCACGTTCTGCACGTTGACATAGGATGGGTCATCAAACAGGTCCACGCGGCCAGATGTGCCTGCTGGAGCTGGGTATTTCTCTCTCCCTGCTAACCAAGAGCACTGGGGTCAGTAGGTTCCCAGCCCACCTCAGCCCTCAGCTCGGGGCCCAGGGAAGAAGACTGGGACCAGGTACACCTGTCACGTTACCTTGGGCAGGAGTGTGCTGCTTCTGGGGGTCATGCTCCCCACTGGACTGGCCCACAGGCTGCAGGGAGAGGCAGTGGTGAGCCCCCACTCCCCTTCTTGCTCCCTCCACTTCCCACTCCCCACACCCCGGGCTGCCAGAAACACGGGAGACATATCCCATGAGTCTCATGGTGGGATAACCCCAAGCAGAACCAATAGCCCAGTCAGGGTCCCTGCATCTCCCTTGTAAGATGGAGCTTTCCAAGGAGGACGTGCCCAGAGCCTCACCAGCGTGGCCCCCAAGTGATTCGGGGTCTGAGCGGCCCCATCCCGCAGCCGCATGTCCACAACCCCCCCAATGGGAGGCTCCTTGCCAGGGAAGTCATTGTAGTACTGGTGATCTGGGGCTGGTTCCTCCTCTTCTTCATCCCAGGCAGAGCCATCAAACCCTGCCATCCTGGGAAGGCACAGCACAGATAAGTCCACGACAGCAGCCAGGGCTGCATTCCCTCTCCAAAACTGATCTCAGACACCCTCCCACCTTTATCCTTCTCACATAACCCTGCCCTGACCTGTCGTGAGGGGTCACCAGCTTTGGGGGGTTCTTCAGGTACTGCTTGAAGCGCAGCTCGAAGGCCTGACCGATGGTGCTGATCACGTCCTGCGCCAAGCCCTCAGGACACTCCAGGATATGGCAGGCTAGGCAGAAAATGGTGGGATGGGATTGCAGAACTCCAGCAGTGAGGTTCTTCACCCCTGAGCCTGCCCCGTATACCCCAGAGCTTCCTTAAGGGTCACCGAGCACCTCCCCCTGCACTGAGCTGGGCCTAAACACCCCCAAAATGGGGCTCTGGCATTGAGGACCCTCACCTCTCTGATTGACGGGGTCTTTGGCAACATAGGCGACGTACTCGGCTGTGTCCTGTGGGTGAGACACCAGCAGTGAGAAAGGGCTGCCAGGGAGCACAGGGCCCAAAACCTCAAGAAAGGGCAGGAGAGGCACCAGTCCCTAGCAGGGAGCAGGGATGGAGACTCTGCATACTCACCGGGTCTCCCCCAGATGCGAAGGATATGGACTGCATGTGGTGGTTGGCAATGATCTGCAAGGTGGAGAGGTCATTGGACACAGCCAGGAGCTCCTGGGCACCCAGCCATGGCTGGCATGTCCTGCTCCCCCCAGGGCTGGCCTGCCATGGGGGCTCACAAGCCTCTGAAACCCTGGTTATGAGCCACAGGCCTCCAGGAAAAGGACTGGGACATCACTAGGGCCACTAAGAGCAGGGTCAAAACCAGGAGACCTGGCCTCAGGCAGGAGAACGTAGGTCTCACAGTCTCCAGAAGAGATCTCACAAAGGACGTGGGATATTTCTCCCACCTCTTCAGCCCTGGGGCCTGAAGGGAGGTGGGCACTCAGCAAGTCACACAGCCCACCTAGAGATTCCTTTGGACATCCCCTGCTAGACCTGGGGTGGAGGACATGAGGATTCCTGCTAGTCCAAAACCAGCCCAGCCTCCACCCCTCCCCGCTCTCACCTGCTTGCAGTCTGAGGCCATGAGGTTGAGGCTGCTGGTGGAGATGGTCAGGGTGATGGGCATGCCAGCAAACTTCAGGTTGCTCTTGCCCAGGATGGAGTTCAGGGAGCGGCCACAGGGCTGGGGGCAAAGGGCAAGGTGGGAAGGGGCTCCTCAGGCCACACACAGCCCAGCAGGCACGTGAACAGGGCACATCCCACTACCCTTACAGCAGAGACGGGCACCTCATCCTCACCACTGGCCCTGGCCCAAGCCACAGTGGGAGATCAGAGCCCCGGGCTGACAGCACAGCACAGCACAGCCAGCCAGGCTGGAATCTGATCCTCTGCCCCACGCCCAGCCAACCATGCACATTCCCCCAGCAGCTCCCCAGCCTGGCCTCACCTTCCTCCTCCTCACAGCTCCCTTGGCACTGGGCACAGCCTCACACACCAACCCAATGGCCTCCCTGCAGGGAGCACAGAGAGATGTCAGTCCCCCACTGCCTGGCCCCCCAAAGACCCCCCAACCATGGGACTGAGGACACAGGAACCAGCACAGGAGTGACAGGGTGACAAAGTGGAAGCCCCCCTGGCAGCGCCAGCTGGGGAAACCGCACTGGTGTTAGTGTTTGATGGGTTGCAGCAGCCTGGCCCCCACTGAAAGCCCCACATGCCACCAGGGGCTTGCGTGGGACTCAGATAACCCCCCTCACCCCTCCCCAAAAGCAGCAGCCCCTGGGGAGAGGCAGAGCTCACCTGGTGACCTGTGTCCTGGTGTTGAAATCCAGAGCCCTCATGGACTGGAGCACTTCCACACAGCCCATGTACTGGGCAAGAGAGCAAGGTGAGTTTGGAGTTTGGCCGGCCATGGGGTTCACCCCCCATGCTGCCAGGGAGGGCGCTGGGGCCCCAAGCACCCCAGCTCCGCAGTGGTGACCTCCCTGGGAATCACACTGCCCACTTGCCCCCCCCCCACTGCCTTCCCTTCCCCCCGCCCCAAGGAGCATGCCAGGAGGTCCCCAAATCCCCGTGGTGACCCTTCCCACTCTGACCCAGTCCCCGGCACTCACCCGGACGTGGTAGGAGACCCCAGGGCCCATGACCTTGTCATCAGGGTGCAGCCAGCCACGGGTGGGCTTATTGACAAAGCTGCCGTGGCGGGTCCATTCGTCACCCCCCAGCTGGCCACCTTCCACACGCGTCTTCTTCCCACAGCTCAGCTTGTTCATATCCTGGGAACAGACAGTGACAGGCCTTGCTGAGCCGGAGCTGGCAGCACCCCCTGGCACTGATGCCAGCAACCCAGGGGTCCCGGGTTCCCCTGGGATGCTGCCAGCTGAAGAGCCCCGCAAGCTGAGCAGGTTGGCAGGATTGGAGAGCTTCAGATTGGCCATTTTGGGGAAGAAGGAGCAGAGGGTGGTAGGGCTGTCCTCCGACTCAGGTAAGAGCTCCCCAAGAGGTGCCGCGGCCCCAAGGGAGGAGGAGGAAGACAGGGAGCCAGGCAGAGACTGCGTGCTTGCAAGGGACTCCACAGGGGAGGACGGGTCCCCTGGGCCCCCCACAGCCTCCTCCAGAGAGGAGACAGACTCATTTCGCAGGTGGCTGTATTTGCTCTTTTGCAGGAGATCCATGGCGGAGAGAGGTGAGAAGGGCCAGGGCCACCCTGTCCAGAGTGGCAGCGAGGTGGAGGCAGCCAGCTGGACCTCACAGGGGCCCCACGGAGAGTCTGAGTGCCTGCAGCCCCCGGGAAGCTGCCCCCAAGCAGAAGCCTCGGCTGAGCTCCACGCCAAGTCCACACCAGCCCGGCATGGCTGGCAGGGAGAGCAGGGCCCGGGGCGCTGGGCAGCGGGACCAGGGGCTGCCTGGCGCAGGCACAGCCTATCGATCGCGATCGGCGTCAGCGAGGATGAGCGGATCTGCTCAGACCAAGAGCAACGCGCCGCAGCAGGGAGGAAACGGGGCCGCAGCAATGCCCCCGGGGAGCCGCTGGCACGGGAAGGGGAGTTCAGAACGCTCTGTCCCCAGCCTGCAGGTCCTCAAGCCCCTTGCCACTCCAGCACCAGGCCGGCAGCAAATCCCATTGTCTTCATGCAGGGGCCGGATCCAGCTCCCTCTGCCCTGCTCGGTCCGGCACAGCCGCCCTCTGCCCCAGCCGCTCACTCCGGCCCCTAAGCTACCCGCTTGCCGGCCCACTAAGAGGAAATCAAAAGCATGAATATTTAAAGCCTGGAGACAAGGCTGCCACAGAGTACATCCAAGCCCAGCCCAGCCCCGCTCCGAGCACCATCCAGGAGGGAAGAAAAAGGTCCTTCTGTGGTGGCCAGCGCCACGCAAACCCACGTGCCGGCGGCGAGCAGCCGCCGTTGGCTCGCCGGGCTCTGCCAGGGGGGAGCAGCGATGCTGATAGGACACCAGTGCTTGCAGCTGCCTGGAATGCTGGGGACATCCAGTCCTGAGAGAGCAAGGATCTCGCCTAGAGGGCCGGCCAGGTGCAGAATACAGGTGGGCTGCGCCCCGGGCGAGGCAGCGTCTCAGCACGGACCCCGAGCCGTGGTGGGGAGCTGGAGGGAGAGGCTGCAGCTCATTGCTGCTGCTGCTGCTGCTTCCCACATCCCGGCGGCTCCTCCCGGGAGAGGAGAAGAGAGGGCTGCGGCTGATTGGAAGGGCCGTGCTGACTCACGGGCAGCAGGGCAGGCTGTGCCCGCGGCGGGGGCTGCGCTGGGGCTGGGGCACAGCGCAGGAGGGGCTCCTGGCGAGGGGTGGGGACTCAGCGCCTATCTGGAGCAGAAGAATCAAGGTCACAGGCGGAGCTAGCAGGAGCATGCCAAGGGGCAAAAATTGGCCCCTTCAGCCACGGGGAGCCAGGCAGGGCTCCCACCTGTGGATCAGAGGGCTCAAGGGCAGGTCTCCCCTGTTCCCCCATCTTTGGGGTACTCGTGTGCAGCAGGAACTTGGGTCAGCCTGGCCGTGCTGTCCTCTACAGCCTTGGCCCCACCGAGGAATAAGAGCTCTTCCCCCTCCACCACCTGTGGGATGAGGTAGCGATTTCAGGCAGAACCAACCCCTGACACACCACTGGCCAGAGCCTTCCCAACCACTACGTGCTCTGTAAAATGGCCACCAAACTAAAACTGGGTAAATCCAGGCCAAGGGAAGGCCTCTCCTGGCTTTGGAGCCCTCGCCCAGCACTGCTCAGCACTGGCAGCTGCTCTGCCCCACTTCCCAAAGCCTGGCACACTGCCACAGGGATAGGGAAAGGAAAAGGCCAGGATGCGGCTGGAAATTGCCTCCTGCACGATGCAAGGGCCTATGGCTCGTGACAGTGGGTCTGTCACAGCAGCATTCCTGGGCCACGCACACCAACTCTGCAAATGCCAGCCCCCACCTCAGCCTGGGGGTCCCGCGGGCACAGGGAGCCCATGCCGGCCGTCCCACACAGTGCTCATCCCCACCAGGGGCCCCTGGCCGGCGCTGTGACCTTCCCGTGGCCAGCAGCGCCACTGCTCTAAAGAAAAGCAGGAAGCCTGGGGCCAGGGAGCCAGGAAGCCACCCGCCCAGTGAGGGGCCAGCACAGCCCCAGTGCCAGGGGAGCCCAGCTGGGTGGTGTCAAATGGCTGCGGGGGCAGCAGGGTTTGCCCACAAGGGGCTGGCCACTAGTGGGTATGGGGCTGGGGTCACCCAGCACAGCAGCTCCACAGGCCCTGACACTACTCCAGGGCCTGCCAGGATTAAGAGCAGAAGGGAACTGCCTGGGGGCAGGAGTGTCTCCTTGCCCCCTTCCCACTACCTCAGGGCCTGGAGCCACCATCCCTGCCAGGCAGCAAAGGGTTGATGAGCCCTACAGCCACAGCCCCTGCTCAGACACACCTCTGCTTTTATAAGCTGGAGTAATTCCTGATTTTCTCAGGACCTTTGAGGCCAGCCTGCCCACATCACCTGTGGTGATGTGACAAGGTGCATTGCTGCTCCCAGCCCTTGGAGACCAGAAGTGCTGCCACCACAGTCCCTCAGCCCCAGAGCCCACCCCAGGGCATCAGAGCCCTCCCTCCCAGTGGGCTCCCGGTGCAGAAGGCAAACCTGGAGGCGTGTGGAGATACAGAAAACCTACCCCTGCCCAAGCAGGCAGCCCCAAGCCCCAACCCTTGCCAGGCAGGCAGCAGGAGTTCCTGCCCCTCCGGCAGAGCAGCTGGAATAACTGTCCCCAAGGAAGCTGCTCCGTGTGCCCTGCCACCACAAAAAGACATTGGACTGTGAGAAACAGAAGGACATGGGCTACTTTCAGGCACCTGGGACTGGGACTTCCAGCCAAGGGCAAGGAAAAGAAGCAGAGAGGGCACGCTCAGGGCCCCACTACCAACATCCTCCCAGGAAACACAAACTAGGAGCTGAGTCAGAGACCTGGAACATGCCAATGGTTTGGCAAGAAATCGCAGCAAGGAGCAGGCGGCCGCACGTACAAACCTCACCCCTGGGCAGGAGACCCCCCTCTGTCCAACCACAGCCAAACTCAAGCCTCCAAGGCAGGGAGGAAGCAAAGGAAAACTCAAATCCAGCCAACAGCTGATTTTTTTCCCCCCAAACATCACAGCTGCAGCACACTACATCTAACCTCTCCTTCGCTCTGAGGAGGGGTTGGGAGACGGCCAGTGGAGACCCGGGGAGGAGGCTGGGGCCCTCCCAGCAGGGAGAGAGGGCAGGCAGGATCCACCACCAAAGCCACCTAGTCCTCCACCAAAGTCCTTACCACATACTCCATCGCTGGCAGAGGGCAGGGCAGGCCCCAGGCAGGGAGCAGAGACGCACAGCCCCTCTCGTCTGGCACTCCGACCTGCGGTTCAGGGACAAACAGGGAGTTAGCCAGCCCTGCCCCAGCCTGCCAATGCAGGGGCCGTGGCACCAGGAGGCAGACCCTGCTCCTCCGTGCTGACCGCAGTCGGATGGGGCCGTGGCAGCTGTGACAACACGCTGCTGGTACATGGGACGAGAGAGCCAGGGAAGCTACCTGCTTCCCATCAGAGGGAAGACAGAGCTGGGATGCAGCAGGGCAGGAGCAAAGGCTAAGCCTGGCTCTGCTGAGGCCTTACCCACACTGGCAAACAGTGTCAGGGGCCGAGAGTCACTCCATGACCTGAGACAAGTGTTGGAGCCGATCCCTGCCCAGCCCAAAAACCAGCGCCCGAAAGCCACACACAAGGAGGGAGAGCAGAGGCAGCCCAGGGGGGCAGAGCTGCCCCTCCCTCCATCCCTGATGCAGAATGACACACAGAGGGCTGTGCCCCTTCCTCCCAGCAGAGCAGCAAAAAAGGGACTCCTGGAAAGAGGCTACAAGGGGGAAGCTGGGAGAGGCAGCAAGGTCTATGAGGGGAAAACAAGGAAAAGCAAAGCAGCAGCTCCGGAGCTGCTGCTCTTCCTGCTCCCACCCCCACCACCCAGCTGAGGCTGGGACAGCCAAGCAGTCCAGGGCAGCAGAATGATTTACAGCCCAGCAGCAATCACACCCTTATCTGGAGCCCAGGCAGGCATTGTGGCCATTTGCTCTGGAGATAGTGAGATAAGAGGGCCCTGCCTGGCACTGACTGTGGAGATCAACCCCTGCAGCACCACGTCACATTCCTCACTGCTGAGCAGAGGTGGTGACTGGGCCCTTGGGACACCAGGGGCCGGAGTGTCAGAGCCCTGAGCCAGGGTGCTCAGCCTTGCCAAAGGTCACTGGCAACCCTCCTGGGGAGGGGACACTGCTCTGAGCAGCTCCTGAGGTGGCCCATCCACAGCATTCTCCCACCAAAGGGTGGGTCTTCCTGCCCCACTTGGCTGGGAAGAGATGGGATCTTTGGCCCCTCTGCCCCAGGCCGAGCCCAGGGCGGCCCCAGGAAGCACTGCCAAGAGCTGCCCTTTGGCCAGAGGCTTCTGCCACACCAACGTGATGAGCAGGGCCCTGGTGATGCTTCCTCAGAACCCACGTCTGGGGTCTACTCCGTGTGGGTGGCCCCATCCAAGGATTTCAAATGGAGAGGCAGAGACAGCCTACAACAGATGGACACAACACAGCGCTGGGGAGCAGACAAAGGCCTACAAAGGGGGACAGCCACCCCTGCCCACAACAGCCCGGTCTGCTCAGGGAAGTCACCCCTGCCTTGGTCTGAGGCACAGAAGGCAGGGCGGCCAAGGAACCCTCCAAACGCAGCCGTTGTCCCCGTCCCGGAGGTCCTGCCGGTCCAGGGCTCGAGGGTCTCCCCAGGTCCCGCAGCGCCCCTGGAGCCGCGTCCCTGCCGTGTCCTGCACCAGCACGGCACAGGGCGATGCAAGCCCGAGCCCCGGGCACACACGGCAGCCGCCACGCCGGGTGGGTCACTCCGGGACCGTCCTGGGAGCGCGGCACAGCCCGGCATCGGCACCGCCACCTCCAGCCCCGGCCGGGCCTCGTACAGGAAGGTCGGGGCCTGCCCCGGGCTCGGCTCCCTCGCGCCGGGAACACGAGGCGGCTGGGAAAGGAAGGGCGGCACTAGGAGCGGCGGCACCTCGGGAGGGTGGCGGTAGAAGGGCGGCGGCGGCGATCGGTGCGGAGTCAAGTCCCGAACGGGCACCGCGGGGCCCTAGGCCTGTGGCGGCCTCGGGACGCGGGGCCGCTTGCGCGGGGGGGACCCCTCCACCCCCGCCCCGCCCCGGCCGGCGCGCGCTCACCGGGCACCATCGGCCTCGCGCGGGTCTCGCGCCGCCGCTCCCCCGCCGGTGCCGCTCCTGCGCGCGCCCCCCCACCCTGTGCGCGCCCCCGCCGCCACTCACTTCCGGCCCACGCGCGCCGCGCCCCCGTCGGTCACGTGACCTCACCCAAGCCAATCGCGGGGCCGCGCGCCGGCCCGCGGGAAGTGCCGCGCACGCACGGACCAATGGGCTCGCGCCCCGCCCCCCCGCTGGGCGGTGCCGGCCAATGGGAGCGCGGGGCGGCGGCGTTTGAAAAGCGCCCCAGGAAAAGGGGCGGGGGAGGAACCAACGGCCGCTGGGGGGGCGAGGGAGGGGGGGTCGCGGAGGGCCCGTCATGGCGCACAAACAGATCTACTACTCCGACAAGTACGACGACGAGGAGTTCGAGTACCGGTACGGGAAGGGCCTCCCCGGGGAGCGGGGGACCCGGTAACGGGTGGTTGGTAAGGAGGGAGCTCGGGAGCTCGGTTACGGTTCCCCGCGGGGACGGGTGAGGGGAGGATGTCCCAGTAACGGTGCACGGTGGGGGGAGAGGCCGTTAAAGGCTCGCTGGTGGAAGGGGGGTGGTGGGCGAGGTGCGGCTGCCCTGTGGAGCAAGAGGGGAGTTATCGCGGTAACGGAGGAGGCCCGCTGAGGGCTCTGTGTCGGGTCACGGAGTCGGTCCCGATAACGGTTCCCCGAGGGGAGGAACCTGATCCTGGGAATTAGAGGCTGTGGGGGTGACCGGGGCAGGGTCCCTGGGGAGTGCGGGGGTGTGGCGACCCGGGGGCGCCCCAGTGTTCACCGGAGGTCGCGGGGGGGGGGGGGCCGCAGGCACGTGATGCTGCCCAAGGACATCGCCAAGCTGGTGCCCAAGACCCACCTGCTGTCGGAGTCGGAGTGGCGGAACCTGGGGGTGCAGCAGAGCCAGGGCTGGGTGCACTACATGATCCACGAGCCAGGTGAGCCCCACGGGGGGGCGGGGAGCGCCCGGAGGGCCCGGCCTGACCGCCCCTCTCCCCCCGCAGAGCCCCACATCCTGCTCTTCCGAAGGCCGCTGCCCAAGAAGCCGGAAAAGTGAGCGGTCCCCGCTCTGCCGGAGCTCCCAGCCCGTTCGAGCTGGGAAAGCACCTTCCTCCTCCTCCTCCTCGGCGTTCCTGGGGGGCTTCACCCCCTGGCCCTTGGTGCCGCCTGGGCGCCGCCGTGGCGACTCGGCCCCGTGCCGGGGTTTTTTCCTGTTGCGAGGCCTCCGAAGCTTCAATAAAGTGATGTTTTTGGGAGCTCCTGTCTGTGGTTGGTGGTTAGGGGGGTCGAGGGGCTCCCGGGACCGCGGAGCCTCTTGGCCTGGGTTCCCGGGGATAGCAGAGGGTTTCCCGGGGGCTAGGGGGACTCCTGGTGTCCCCCGGGGAGAATCCCGGGGCCGTGAGGGTGGGGGCGCTCCCGATGCCCCCGCCCGCAGGGCGAGCCCACGGCCACGAGGGGGGACATCCCCATTTCCCCCCGGCGATGGTTCCGTCCCCGCGGTCCCGCCTCTCGGCCAATGGGCGCCGGCAAGGCCGCGTGACGGACGGGCGGACGGGCCGATGAGCGCGCGGGGAGGTGCCGCGGCCCGGGTGAGTGTCCGGGAGGGTCCATGTGGGGGGCGCTGCGGGGGAGGGCGCTGCGGGCGGCCGGGGCCCTGCGCGCCGCCGCTTTCCGCTCCATGGCGGTCGAGGGGCCAGCCCGGGGCTCCGCCAGCACCGCCGGCATCATCGTCATCGGCGACGAGATCCTCAAGGTGCGGCTTGGGGCAAGCCCGAGGAGTGGGGGGAGCAGGCCCGGGAGGGGGGGGGCGGGCCGGGATCTGTGCACGGGGCTGGGGGGCCGTCACGGGTGTCTCCGTCCCCCCTCAGGGCCACACTCAGGACACCAACTCCTTCTTCATGTGCCGGCGGCTGCGCGCCCTGGGCGTGAAGGTGGCCCGGATCTCGGTGGTGCCCGACGAGGTGGAGGCTATCGCTAGCGAGGTGGCCGCCTTCGCTGCCCGCTTCACCTTCGTGCTCACCTCGGGCGGCATCGGCCCCACGCACGACGACGTGACCTTCGAGGCCGTGGCCAAGGCCTTCGAGGAGAATGTCGTCCCCCACCCCGAGCTGGTGGCTCTCGTGCACAAGTTCTTCGGCAGGACAGAGGCGCAGTGCCCTGAGATGAAGCTGGCCCGGGTCCCCGAGTCCGCACGCCTCAACTATGGCACGGATGGCCGCGGCAGCGCCTTCGACTACCCGCTGGTCAGCGTGCGCAACGTGTACATCTTCCCAGGCATCCCGGCACTGATGGAACGTGCCCTGGACGGCCTTGCTCACCTGTTCCGCAGTGAGCGGACCCGATTCCACTCCCGCGCCGTCTATGTGGCGGCCGACGAGCTCCTCATCGTACCCGTGCTGGACCGGGCCCATGCTGCTTTCCAGGGCCGCGTCAGCCTAGGCTCCTACCCGGACTGGGCCAGCAACTACTACCGCGTGAAGCTGACACTGGACTCTGAGTCGGAGCAGGACCTGGAGGAGGCGTATGGCTTCTTGATGAGGCAGCTGCCACCGGGTGTTGCTGTGCCACTGGTGACAGACTACGTTTCTCGGGCGGCTGCAGAAGTTTATAGCCTGGCAGAGTCAGGTACCTGTGCCTCTGCACTTCTGTCCAGCCCAGGAGGGCTGGGGCAGTGGGAATGCTGGCCTGGGAGCGGAGCTTGCCTGTTGTGGTGTGCTGGGGGGCTCATTGGGGCGTGCTAGGGCTTTACTGGTTCTGCATTGTCCCACACAGGTGGGAGTGGGACCTGTAAGTCCAGTTAGGGCCAGCAGTGGCAGAGTCTGAGAGCACAGTGTGCAGTAACAGCAGCAGTGCTGCAGTTCCCCAGTGCCCTCATGATCCCTGTCCCATTGTGGCACAGACCTCTGGGTTGCACAAGCTCTCTGCTGCGGTGCCAGCAGTGGCTCCACTGTGTGTCAGGAAACAAGACATCCAAATGGTAAGGTGCCACAGGCTCTGGGGCCGTGCCGAGGCAGCGTGACCTGGGCAGGCACCAACTGTCCCATCCCAGCAGGCTCAGCCCTTGGGCAGAAGGTGGCAGCAGCCCTGCAAACCATTGAGGAGGCTTTGGACCAGTACAGCCTGGCCCAGCTCTGCGTGGGCTTCAACGGGGGCAAGGACTGCACGGCCCTGCTGCACCTTGTCCACGCTGCTGTCCAGAGGTACTTGCCCACGGGGCTTCAGCCTGGGGCAGGGCTGGGGGTGTCCCGCACACCCCAGCCGGGGCTCTGGGGCTCTCACTTGCCCCACTCTGGGGGAATGAGTGGATTCTTGGGGCCTGTCTGATGGGGACTGGACACTGCCCTACCTCTGGTTGCTGTGGGCCAGGGCCCAGCTGTGCTGGGTCTCTCCGCAGGCGGTTCCCGGTGAGGCAGGAGAGGCTGCAAGTGCTCTACATCCGCATTGTGTCCCCCTTCCCTGAAATGGAGCAGTTCATCCAGGCCACTGTCCAGAGGTAGGAGGCAGAGCAGGGTGGGCTGCCAGGCAGGGAGTGTGCAACATTGCCTGTAGACAGTTGCCCGCCCTGCCTGCGCAGGTACGATGTCCAGCTCTGCACCGTGGAGGGCTCCATCCGGGAGGCCCTGGCCCACCTAAAGGAGCAGCAGCCACAGCTGGAGGCCGTCCTGATGGGAACAAGGCGGACAGACCCCTACTCATGCACCCTGACCCCCATGTGCATGACAGACCCTGACTGGCCCCAGTACATGCGGGTGAACCCCTTGCTGGTACGTGTCCTCCACCTGCTTTGGGGCTGGGACTGTCTCCATGGGGCCTGGGAGAGGTAAAATGATGGGGTTGGGAGCTAGCACTGATCCAACCCTATCCTGGAGGGCTTCTCTCATGATTCCTGCTTTCCCCAGCGCATCTGCTGCCCCATGCCGTGGCTGTGGGTGCCTCTTGCTGCAGCCAGGCTGCCTGGTGCTGTCAGGCAGGGCTTATTCCTGCCTGCCAGGGTGTTTCCCTGTGTATGAGGAGGCACTGGGACGGAAAGAGGTGCTCTGGGGACCATCTGGCTCTCCTGGGTGCTCTCTAGTAGGGTCCTGCTTGCTTCCCTGGAGGCCCCTGCCTCAGTCTGTGTTCAATTCTGCCTGCAGGACTGGACCTACCGGGACATCTGGGAGTTCCTGCGCAAGCTCTTTGTTCCCTACTGCATTCTCTATGACAAGGGGTAAGTACCCAGTGCTGCCTTCTTTGTGGGCACAGCTAATGCCCCCAGGCACAGCCCTATGGCCGCCTCCTCCCTCCACAGCTACACCTCTCTGGGGAGCATGGCCAATACGCGCAAGAACCCAGCGCTGCGCTGCACCGACGCCTGGGGCCGGGAGAGCTACCGGCCTGCCTACGAGCTGGAGAACGAGGAAGAGGAGCGCACGTCCCGGCTGTGAAGGCCATGCTCTGGGAGGCTCCTCTGGAAAGCTGCCGGGAATGACACTGAATAAACCTGCTGCCTGTCAGCACTGAATAAACCTGCTGTGGTCTGCGCTGCGCTGGCGCGTGGCCTCGTTGGGCCCCAAGGGCCCCATTGGGGCAGTGGCAGGAGTGGGAGGAACAAAAGGGTCCCCAGGCCGTGCCCCCCTCGCTGTACCCACTGTTGTGGAGGTTTTGGAAGCATGGAGAATGTAGCAGGTTCCAGGGCTTGCCAGGGCCCTGTGTATCTGCACTGCTGCCTCTCCCGCTCACATCAGATCCAGCTGATCCCTCATCAGCCATGCAGCTCCTCTGGACCACGGCAGCCCATCCACTGGGCGCTCCGCGGGCACGGCCACGGGCACTGGCACTGCCGGCACCCGCCACCACCTCCCTGGGGCTGCGCCTGGGCTCCTGGCTGCTGCGGCTGCTGAGGGAGTGCGTCTACCTCCTTCTGTGCAGCTGGTGCATCCGTGAGCTGCTGGACTAGGGAATGCCCCCTCCCCCCTACTTCAGTACTGCAGGACCTCCAGCACTCCCTGCCCGCCCTGCCTCTGTGGGTGAGTGACCGCCTGCAGCTGCCCACTTGATGTGGCGTTTGGGGTGTGACAGTGGCCTAGTCGTGGTGCCTGGTGGGTGATGGAGCCCAGCCATGGTGCTCTTGGGGGCGAAAAGGTCCTGGTCATGGTGCTTGGGGGGTTACAGGGGGCCTGACTGTGGTGCTTCTGGGGACTGAAGGGGCGCAGCCTTGATGCTGATCAGTGGGTCCTCACCTGCTGTGCCTCTCTGCCCTCCCCAGGACTGTGCTTGTCGCCACGTGTTGATGGAGCTGACAGACCCCCAGCGCTGGGACGCTGCACTCCCCACAGTCATAGACCCCTAGTAAACCTGAGCAGTGCCTGACTGGCTGCATCTGTTTGGAGAGAGCTCTGGGAGAGAGCGTGTGTGTGTGTGTGTGTGTGTGTGTGCGCGCGCGCGTGTGCGCGCGTCCTCAAACCTTCCAACCCTCACCCTGGGTAGCACCAAGGCAGCCCAGCCCACCCCTCACCCCTGCCCAGGGCTGAGGGTCCCCACATCCCCTGGGGCCAAGGGGCAGGAGTGGGAAGCTGGGGCTCTCCAGTATCTCCTACTTCCCCTCCCCGTCCTCTCCAGCCATTTCATGTTCCAGTCCTGTGCTGCCAAGAGTCTGCAGGAAGCAGCAGGAGCAAAGTGTCTCCAATGGGCCCAGCCTGGCTGGGAGCTGCATCAAAGGTCATGGCTGGTGGCACTGGGGCCTGGCTGTGGGGGTGGCTGTGGGTCCCTGAGCCCATTCTGCCCAATGCTCCTTGTGCTGGTGCCTGCACAGGGAAGGCTCTGCACACCCCGTCCTCGTCCTCAGCCCTCGTCCTCAGCGGCAGCACTGGCGCCAGTGTGGCCTCCCTTATCTCAGCGGGAAGTCAGGAGCAGGAAGCCTGGCCCAGCACGGGATAAGGGTCCCGTTTACATTAGCTCTTCTGTTGTGGAGCAGGCTCCCACCCTCACCCAGCGCCCACAGCGGGGGGCCCTGGTCGGGCCGAGGGCTATGGGAAGGCAGGGACCCCTACCCAAGGTGCCACAAGGGGCTTAGGTGGTCCTTACAACCCCCGTGTGGACATGAGTGGGAACAGGGTCTGCGAGGATGGTGCCCTGCTGCTGTGCCACATGACTTCCCCCTGCCCAGATCAGCTCCTCCAGCCGGACCCTGCCCCGTGGGTGTGAACTGGTGTGGTCTGTGCTGCTGTCTGGGCTCCCAGCTGTGCCCAGCTGCCTTGGTAGCTCAGTGCTGGGCATCCCTGACCACTGGAGCCCACACGTCTGGTGCCTGCCCTGTCCTGATGTGGTGGCCCTGGCCGTGGTTCAGCCTCGGAGCTGGCCGGGAGGGGGCGAATCAATGAATTCCCCAAACAGGGAGGTCCGGGGGAGGGGAGAGCATCCCGGCACAGGAAAAAGTGCAGGCAGTGACGCACGGCTGGCAGAGCAGTGCCGGCCGCCCTGAGAGCACAGCCCTATGCGCCGCCCCGGAGCCTCGCGCCCTCCTGCGCCACCCACCGTGAGTGAGACCCCTTTCCCCAGGGACCCCTTACCCAGCCCCACGGTGGGGCCACAGGGGAGTGGGCGGGTGCTGTGGGCAGGGGCACGTGGACCGTCAGCACAGGCAGATTCCCCAGCAGTGAGGGGTTGGTTTTGGAGTCATGTCTGATATGATCTCCGGGATGCCAGTACTCCTCGAAGTGGCGCCGTGCCCTCGCGGTGGGGACGGCAGCAATGTGAGGCACAGGCAGCGGCAAATCCAGGCAAAGCAGCCTCGTGGGAGGACACAGGAGGATGCAGCAGGTCCCCACCAGGACCCCCTGCAGCCACAGCGCTCTCGCAGGAGGTGACGGAGGTGACGCCTGTCCCTGTCCTGCAGGTGGTCCCCACTGCCACCCCATGTTCCGCTCACGCCGCGCGGGGCTCATGCGGCGGCTGTGGCGGCAGCGCTGTGCAACAGCGGGCCCCGAGGACGGCCCCAGCACCCTCAAACCAGCAGCTCATGCCCTCTTCAAGAAGCTGAAGGATGAGGATCTGGAGCTGCTGGTGCTGGCAGTGGAGAGCCGGGGCGCTTGGGAGTCCAGCTGTGTTTGGGCACCACGGGGGGATGTGCGAGGGGCCAAGCAGGGGCTCCCCCCTCAAGTCCTGCTCTGCCGCCTCTTCCGCTGGCCCGACGTTCACCAGCCCCATGAGCTCAAGCACCTCTGCTACTGTGCTGGGCACCGGGGGGTCTGCGGGGACTTGGCTGCACTCTGCTGCAACCCCCACCACTTCAGCCGCCTGGCTGTACCTGGTGAGTGCTGGTGGCAACACCGGAGATCCCCTTGCCCACCCAGGCTCTCAGCTCTGCTCCTTGGGGCCCTCTTTGGGCTCCAGGGGCCTCTGAGAGGGGCAGAATGCATGCCTAGCCCCTCACTTCCTTCTCTCCCTTCCACAGAGAGCCCACCACCCTCCTACTCGAAGGCATCCTGTGGTCCCTCCTGGCCAGACGAGCCCCAGCACCCTGGCACTCAGCTCCTAGAGTTCAGCTGCAAAGGTGGGGACTGGCACGGTAAGAGAGTCCCACCACACTGTGTATGCCACACCTAGAGGACAGGAGGGCACCGGGCAAGGCTGAACCCCTGGGTCAGGAGCTGAGATTGGAGGGGACAGAACCTGAAAAGCAGGGAACAGAGCCAGCAGCCACTCCTAGCAGGAGGAAAAGGCTCCAGCATGGGATGAGGGGTTCCTGCTGGAGGAGCAGCCTGGGCTCGGCCCCCCCCACTGCAGCTCCTGTTATTTTTGGCAGCGCCAGGCTCCTCGCCGGAGGAAGCACTGCCTATGGGGACACAAACAATGTGCCTTGACGCACACGGCCACAGCTCCTGCCTGGCTGCTGGCCACCAAGGCTGCCAAGCTGCCACCACACACACGCTCTACCCCTGCCCGCCCCACCCGTCACCAGGGTTCCTGGGGACCAGGAACAGCTCCAGTGACTCACACTCACTGCCAGAGCCTGTGCTGAGGCATCCTCGGGGTGCCAGTATACCCTTCTGTCCGCAGACCCCCCTGTGCCCACTCCCCTCAGCCCATCCAAGTGCATGGCTCGGTCATGATGATGGCTCTGCTCTCCCCTGCCAGACACCAGCCTCTCACAGAGCACCATCAAGGATGGCTGCTGGTGCAAACTGGCTTACTGGGAGCACCGGACACGTGTGGGCCGCCTCTACGCTGTGCACGAAGCATCAGTGAATGTCTTCTGTGAGCTGCCATGGGGCAGCGGGTTCTGCCTGGCCCAGCTGCCAGCTGCCCACCGCAGCCGTGCTGTCCGGCGGGCACGTGGCAAGATCGGCCGGGGGCTGCTGCTGAGCCGGGAGGCAGGCGGCATCTGGGCCTACAATCGCAGCAAGCACCCCATCTTCGTCAGCTCGCCCACCTTGAGCCCCCCCGGGGCCCGCAGGCTCACTGTCCTCAAGGTGCTGCCTGGCTACTCGGCAAAGGTGTTTGACTATGAGCAGGTGGGGGGCAAAGGGGGCTGGCGGCTCCCCGGGGAGGGGCCCTCCGACCCCCACAGCATCCGCATCAGCTTTGCCAAGGGCTGGGGACCCTGCTACTCCCGGCAGTTCATCACCTCGTGCCCGTGCTGGCTCGAGGTCCTGCTGAACCAGCTGCGCTGAGGGGCTGGGGCCTGTGGGGGGATGTCAGGGAGCTCGCCCAGAGCCAGGTGCACCAGCCAGGGGGCCCCTCCACCACTCTCCAGCCTTTGTCTTCCAGGGCTGTGCTGTAGCAGGACTGTCCTGACTCTGGGGACCCTCTGCCCTAGCCCTGAGGGGCAGTGCCCCCTGTGCCTGGCTCACCACCCTGCCAGCACCTGCTGCCCCCAACCATGGGGCTCTCAGTGACACGACGCGCTATTTAACGTACTCTTTTAATTTTATTACTTTAATAGTTAAATATATATTAATTTATCTATTTTTGCAAAACAAACCAAGGTGTGAGGCAGGAGTCCCCGCTGGCCAGGCCAGGCCTCGGGAGGTGGCAGCCAGGGCAGAATGGGCTGGGGGGAGCAGGAGAGAAGGGAGGTGGGACAGAGTGGGGGAGCAGGAGGTGGGCTGTGGGCCTGCCTGGATGTCACAGCAAGCGAGGGGAAAGAAAATGAACTGTCACTGCTGGGGTGGGGTGGGGCCATGAGTACAGCTGGGATATGGGGCAGGTGGATGGGTGTGGGGCAAGTTAGCACAGCTGGAGTATGGGGCAGGTCAGAACAGCTGGATGAGTGTGGGGCAGGTGCTGGGGCAGGTGAGCACAGCTGGAGCGAATGGGGGGGCAGGTCAGCACCCCTGGGGTGGAGGTCGGTGCAAAGTCTCCCAAGGCGGGGTTGCCAGGCCCCGGGCGGTCCTTCAGCCATCCTGGCAGCGCAGGGACGCCCCGGGCGAGTGCAGCTGCGGGGGTCCCCGATTTCCCATGCCGCGTCTGCTGTTTTTAACCCCAATAAACGGTGCCGCCAGCACCAAGAGACCCCTCATGTCCCCACGCGTGTCGGTGCCGCCCACGGGGCTCGGCTCCGGAGACTAGCAGTGCCCTCTGCAGGCGGCCGCCGTGGGCCGCGATGACCACCCGGTCCTTCCTGCCACGCCGCCGGCCCGGCTGAGACCTCGGCCCCGGCCCCGGCCCCGGCCCCGCCGCGAGAGGTGAGTGCGGCCGCGCCGTCGGGGGGAGCGGCACCGGGGGCGTCGCCGCCGGCACCGGCAGAGCGAAGCGGCCACGGCGAGCGGCGGCCCGGGGGGGCGGGCGGGGAGCGGCGAGGCGGGGGGGTGGTTCTGCGGGTCGCCCCCGCCGCCCCCGCGGAAGCCCCGAGTCCGGCGGGCCGGTGCCCGCGGCAGGGATGCAGGTGCACGGACGGACGGAGCTGAGGGGACCGAAACGGGCCGGCGGCCGGGCGAGGCGCGGCGGCAGGTGCCCGATACCGGGGCCCGGCGGGAGGGTGGGTGGGTGGGGGTCCTGCTCCCGCCGCCGCCGCCCCCCAGCCCGCTGACATAACGTCTGCGCGGGGCCGTGTTTGCCTTGGCAGCCCCGGGGCCGGCGGCGGCTCCTCACACTTTCCGCCAGCGCCGGGCAGCGGCCGCGCTCCGAGCCAGGCGCGGGGGGGCCGGGGTGAGCCGAGGTGAGCCCCGGGGCCGCCGCTGCCTCCCGGGGCCGGCAGCGGCCAAACAGGTTGCGTGGGGCCCGCGCCCAGGCACCTGCGGAGGGGCCGGCCCCGGGGGGAGTTTGGAGGGGCCGCCCTCGCTCCAGCGCCGCCGGGAACGCTGGGCTGCCCCCCGCGCCGCCGGCTGTCCGGATCCCCCCGGCGCCACGTTCTCTGTGTCCAGCTCTCCATCCCCCCGTGCCCGGCATTCCAACCCTCCCAGCGCTCGCTGCTCGGTGCCCCGTTCCCCAAGCCCGGCTCTCCACCCCTCTACCTCCCCGCCACGCTCAGTTTCCCAGTACTCCAAACTCCCCCTTCGGTGCACACTTCTCAGCTCTCACCCCCCCACCCCATGCCCGGTTCCCCGCCCCCCCTGTGCCCACGGGGCGGAGCGGGCCGGGCCGTGCCGTGCTGGCCCCGGGACTCGGGGCGGCCGCAGCGGGCGGAGCGCGCTCGGCGCCTGGCACCGCGCTCGGCGCCGGCGGGGCCGTCCCGGGCTGTTCCCCCCCACTCCAGGTCCGGGGCCGAGCCCCGTTCCCGGCTCTGACTCAGCTCCCCCCAGGTCCCGGGGGGCGCGCGCGGCCCCCGCCCTCACGGGGCGAGGCGCGGGGCTGATTGACGGGGCGCTCCACCAATCGGACGCGCGAGCGCCGGCGCGCTGCCCAATGGGCGAGCGGGGGCGGGCGCTTCCTGGAGCCCCGGCGGCGGCGGCGGCGGCGGTCCGGGGGGGGGGGAGCGGGCGGGGCGCGGCGGCGGCAGGTGAAGGCGGAGGCGGGGCCGCATCCCCGGGAGCGGCCCGTGGCTCGGGCGGGGCGCGCAGGTGAGTGGCGGTCGGGTGGGGAGCGGACAGACCCACCGGCGGGGGTTTGCGCGGAGGTATCGACCCACTGGCAGCGGGACCGGGAGCGGCGCGGCGACCGCTTTTTGCCGCCCGGTTGCGGTGAGTCGCGTGGATCCGGGATGCTGCGGGCGGTGGGCGGGCACGGCCGGCTCGCGGGGCACCTCGCGGTGTCCCCTCCGTCTCCACCCGCCGCCGGAGCTGGTGGACACGTCGCCTGTGGGGCGGGGGGGGGTGTCACTCGTGGGCTGTTCCCGGTGGCTGCGCACAGGGCTGCGGGAAATCGGTGATACCGGCAGGTCCCCGTTGCGTGTCGGGGCGGCTGCCAAGGCTCCGCTGGGGTCCTATTGCGGTGCTGCTAAATCCAGCCAGGGTCCCCCGTGGGTCACCCACGGGTGACTGAGAGCTGCCGCCGTCCCACTGCCCTTCCCAACCTGGTGAGCAGCTTGGCGGCGTCCCTAGTGCACCGGGCAGGAACGGCACCGTCGCACGGGGAAGGCAGCTCGGGGAAGGCAGATCAGGGAACCCCCAGTGCGGCGGTGCCAGTAGAGTCGGAGGGTGTCCCCGTGTCCCGACACGCTGTGCCACGCCGGTGACCCCCGGGCCTGCACGCTGGCAGCGGCGGCTCACTGCTCGGCTGTGCAGCGGTCCCCACCGGGATCGGTGCCTTGGTAGCACCTGCCGAACACCGGTGGACTCTGCCCCGTGCGCCCAGCCCTGCCGTACCTGTCCTCGTCCCCCTGGCTGGCTGCCCCCAGCCACTGTTTGCCCGGGGCGGGGTGCGGTATTTACCCTCCCGCCGGAGCAGATCCACGTCTTGGGCTGCAGCCGCCCTTGACCCGTGGCTGTGCTCACTTGGCGAGGGGACGCAGTGCCGGCTGTGCCGTGGGGTGAGTTGCCCCGTGCCTCAGTTTCCAGCCGCCACAGCTGGTGGGAGCGGGGGGACGCGCTGGGACCCCCCGCGCTGGCGGAGGCACGCGGCGACTGCGGCGACTCAAGGCTGCGGTGATGATGCCGGTGCCGGGGACAGAGGGAGGGACTGAGCTCAGGAACTTGGAGCGGGTGCTTGGAGAAGGGGAAACTCTGGGGCAGCGCAGTGTGGGGCAACAGGGCTGGGAGTGCCTGTGCTGGGGACGGGGGGTGCAGAGGTGAGCGCGGGAAGGTGACAGGTGTGGGGCGACACACACACATGGATGTTTGGTCCTGAGGACCCTCCAAGACCCCCTCCCCGGGCGCAGGTTGCCCCCAGCGCTGCAGTGCTGATCCTGGGGCAACTGTGGCAGCGTGGCTTTGCCAGCTGGTGCCGTGCACCCTCAGTGCACACGTGGCACGAGCGCGACAGGCCTGAGCACGCGGGGGCGGGGAGTGGGCGGCAGCGGGGGGTGCAGGGCCAGCGCAGCCCCCGCTGCACCCCCAGCCCCCAAGGGGCGTCTGCTGTCCCGTGCGTGGAGCGGGGACTTCTCCTTCGGGGCAGGCGGTGGATGATGAAACCAGGGAGAAATTTCTCCTGGCAGCGCACAGACTGCTGGCGGAAGCCCCCGGGAGCCTGCGCTCCCCCTGCGCCACCACAGCCGCCTTCCCATGGTAACTCCACCGCGGGAGCCGGCGGGGTGCCGGCGGGAGCGGCCGCCCCGTCTGGAGGGTTGGCGCCCGCCTGGCTCCCCGTGGCAGCGCTGGCGTCCCCGACATGCCCCGGGAGCTGCGTGTCCACACCCCAGCAAGCCCTGGGGTGGCCAGAGGACCCGGCGAGGGGCTGGGCTGAAGCCCGTCAAACTCGCTTTGTGCCAGGAAGGTGACGCTTGGGTGGCCGTGCACGCAGTGGGGGGATGCCAGGGCTGTGGCCAGTGACCTTCAGCATGCCTGGTGCCTGGCCATGCTCCATGCCCAGGGATGGGCGGCCAGTTGGCATGCACACTGGTGCAGTGGGAGCCATGGGGCCTGGGTGCCCTGTGTCCCCAGAGCTGGTGGCGTGACTTGGCGGGGCCACGGCCGGGCGGGGGGGACCAGCCAGGGTGAGGGAAAATGAAAGCAGGTGATGCGGAAGGAGAAGTAGGTCAGGCAAGCTCTGGCCTCTCCTGGCAGCCTCGGCTGCACTGCGTGCTCCACTCTGCCTGGCTGTCCCTGCCGTGTCCCCAGGCCCCATGGGCAGTGGCCGGAGTGGGCGGTGAGTAAGGGGGTCCTGCTGCCAGGCATTGGGTCCTGGGCAGGCTGGGTGCCAGGCACTGTCCACCCCAGATGCTGGCGGGATGGGGAGCGTGGCTGGGCTGCCTGGCATGTGTTGGGTACGGTGGCACCCCAGCAATTTTGCTTTGGTTCTTCTCCTGTGGGCATCCTTGGGGACACAGAGCTGGGGGCAAGGATGTGCAGGAGCTTTTGCCCTGCTGCAGGGCCAAGGAGGAAAGGAGAAGGGATTCCTGTCCCTCCTGCTTGGGTGGTGCCAAGGCAGCCACTACAGTGGGCCTTGGGGAGAGCCCTGTGTCCCATAGTGGAGCTCCACAGACATTCTCCTGGGCCCTGCTCCACTATGGACATCACCCTCCACACAGGGTAGGGCTGGCTGGGGTCTCCCCAGTGGCGCTTCATGGGTTGGAGTGGCTGTGGCGGGCATGTCCCCGCTGGCAGTGCTACATGGGCTTGGGGGGGGATTAGAGCTGCCTGCCCCCCTTCCCTCCCTGGGATCAGCCGTGGGCAGCGGGGAGCTGGCAGCAGGCAGCTGCCGTGGGGGCGGAAGCCAGGCTATTTTGGGGGGTATAAAGGGGGGGGGCTGTGGGCTGGCACTGTCCTTGCCGAGTGACCCCACCAAGACCAGCACAGCGCCAGTGCCAGGATGAAGCATTGGGGCCTAGCCGGAGCCGCTGGCAATGCTCAGTCTCTGAGGTGCTGTGAGGACACATACCTTGCACTGACTAGGAGGTGCCACCAGCCAAGGGGACCCCCTGGGGCTGTGCAGTGTGGTGGGACCCAGGCAGTCTGGCTGCCCTCCAAGGGGTTCCCATAACTCCTGCAGGGCCAGCAGCTCCAGAGCTGGCTCACCCTGGGGCCAGCGAGCAGGCACAGCCACAGGCAAGCCTGCCTGTCCCAGGCTGGGGGCTAGCAGAGCCTTGTCCTGCTGCCACCAGTAACCCTGTGCCCAGACCGGCCTGCAGGGAGGCACATGAGCAACCGAGTTTGGCTCCATCTCAGTAGGATCCTGGCCAGGCTGGGCTGTGCAGGATGCCCAGCTCCTCCATGCTTCTCTTGGTGCTGGCAGGGGTGGCCTGGGCACTGGCTGGGCTTGGGACCTCTCTGAGAGCCACTCACTTTGACTGCAGTCCTGTCCCCCTGGCTATCAGGTGAAATGTGCCCATTTTCCATCCTTCCTTCCTTCCTTCCTTCCTTCCTTCTTTCCTTCCTTCCTTCCTTCTTCCTTTCTTCCTTCCTTCCTTCTTTCTTTCCTTCCTTCCTTCCTTCCTTCCTTCCCCCTGCCTGTTCCTGCCATCTCCCTGA